GAGACAACCAACCCCAGTCACAATAAAGATAGACCAAAAACAACTGGAGAATGTGAAATGTTTTAAATATTTGGGTAGCTTGTTAACAGATGATGGAAGGTGTACGTGTGAAATTAAATCTAGGATTGCCATGGCAAAAGCTGCATTTAGCAAGAAGAAGAATCTTTTTACCAGCAAATTGGACTTAAATTTGAGAAAGAAACTAGTGAAATGCTATGTTTGGAGCATCGCTTCGTATGGGGCTGAAACTTGGACACTTAGGGCAGTAGATCAGAAACATCTGGAAAGCTTCGAAATGTGGTGTTGGAGAAGGATGGAGAAGATCAGTTGGACCGATTATGTGAGTAATGAAGAAGTGTTAATTAGAGTCAGTGAGCAGAGGAATATCCTACACGAAATAAGAAAACGGAAGGCTAATTGGATTGGTCATATCTTACACAGTAACTGCCTTCTAAAAGAAGTTATTGAAGGAAAGATAGAGGGGCGGATAGAAGTAACAAGAAGACGAGAAAGAAGACGTAAGAAGATGCTGGATGACCTTGGGGACAGAAGAGGATACTGTCATTTGAAGGAGAAAGCTCTAGATCACATTACGTGGAGGAATTGTTTTGTAAGAGACTGTGGACCAGTCGTCTGACAGATTACTGATGATGATGATGTTTTATATAATCGAATCAGTCATTGGTTTTGTAATTTCATTGCTTTCCCATGGACAAATTGGAATATTCTGTATTTTTTCTTATTGTATATAAGATTGTATAGGAGGCACGTGATATAGATGTAGTAAATTAATGTTAATTGTTTAGTCAGTGCCTCATCTTACAAAGTATTGTCCATTCTGTAGGGAATGTAAACAATGAAAGAGGTTGTATATTGTAACACAACAGGATGCATGAAATGAAAAAATAAATAATATCTTACTAGTTGATCTCTTGATGTTACAATTTTTCACAGAGTAGGTGTTTTGAAACCTTGCCTAATTTCTTTGTATAAAGTGTTCTTGTTATAAGATCAGTCATTTGATTAATATGCATGTTCTGGTTTGTGTTCTTATAGACGGGGCCATGATAGTACTGGTGTGACGGATCGTGTAGTTAACCAGTTACTGACACAGCTGGATGGGGTTGAGTCTTTGCATGGAGTCTGGGTTGTGGCAGCTACCAGTAGACCAGACCTCATTGACCCAGCTCTCCTACGGCCTGGCAGATTGGATAAAGCTATAAAATGTCCTCTTCCTGATAAGGTACATGCCATATTTTTGTCAAAAAAAAATATGTCTGAAAGTTGTGGTGAATAAAATATAAAAATTCTGCTTCCCAGAGTATAATTTTATGCAGTAGATTGAGGCAGATAAAACTGAATGCATTGTGACAACTTGGTACTGATGTTTGTGTCTACAGACTCCACCATGTAATCCTTGATGAACACTGAAACGAAAGTGCTTCTTGATAAAAATTTGACTGATATGGCAGCAGTATGGAAATGCACACCTCCATAGTTCACAATGCAGTTCCTTGATGAACACTAACATAAAAATGCCCCTTGATGTTGTTTTGACCAATTCATCATTTTCACAAAAGAATGGAATTCCTATAGAATGCATTGTCTTAACACAGTATGGATATTTACAACTATGGACTCCACCAAGTGATCCCATGTGATTTAACGTTTCTGTCAGTTTCCTGTTTCCTTCCACCACCCTAACAGAGAAGACCCAAAGTTATTAAGAAGTGTACTCTGTATGGTAGCCGTGACAGTTGTGTGATTTGCAAGAATTGCAATAGAATGTTTGGGTGTGATTTGACTCCTTATTTCCCACCAAAAATAAATAAATAAATGAGGTAAAAAAAGTATAAAGCCATTCCTGTAACAGGCTGTGCAGGCCCATATGACTGAGATGTCGAGGCTCCCACCTTTTCTCTAGACAGTGGACTCATAATTGGCAGTAAGATTGTGAACCTTATGCGTCTGCTGCCCTTTACCCCTAGGAAGATTCCTGGTACTCATTTCTGTTAGAGACTGATTTGAGCCCAAGGCCATAGTACAGCTGGAAGAATTAGGTCAATTGAAAAATCCACATCATCGGGACTCGAGCGCACAGTATGGCCTGTAGTGTAGTACCTCAACCAGCTATGCTACCGCGTGCCCGCAAATAAATAAATAAACACCATGAGTAAAATTTAATTTTTAATTTGAATATTATTCCTCTAAAGTTTTAGCTAGTGTATATATGAAACTGGAAAGAAAAGTAACCACATCCAAGGTGAACTTCTGCTTGCTATGTAGCTATGTCATTGGAGAAGGTAATGAAAGAGTGGATTAAAAGAAATTGTGGGTTCTATAAATGGATATTAGATTATTTGTAGAAGCAGAAGATGGTTTGGAAGGAATTTTCTTCCATTCTCATATACATATTTTGACATGTCTAACCGTTGCTGGGCAATGGGAGGTGGAACTAGTTACCACGAAGACAGACCCTTGATAAACAGTCGGATGCCAAGTTACGCAACAGTAAGGAATGCTGTGTTTCTCACTGCCGTGCCAAGTAGAGCCGAAGTGAGCCGAGCCGAAGCACGCTGGTTGCTATGCAGCAATAAACAACCCTCGGCAGCGTTCCCCAGCAACGCCTGTAAACACGTCTTTTACCCAACAGTGAAGCAAGGTGTGTTTTTCCTCTGTCCGACTGATGGTTTATAAGAGAGACTGGAATTTCTAAGCAGTCAGTTGAAATACAGCAGCAGTCACAGAAAGAAGACCCAAACGCGTGGTGGGAAGATTTTATGTGATAGTGCGCAATAACTGAGAAGTCAGCCAGTGAAGACTTATTGTGTGTAGTAGTACAGTTTTATTGGGAGTGTGTAATTTGCAGAGAGACGTGTATAGCTCCCACGTTGTAAATACATGAAGACTACTGAAGAGACTATTGTGTGGGGTTTTTAAATTGTCTAAACCCGCAACAGTGTTATAAGTATTTGTAGTTACGACTTGTAGGTTGTTAAATAAACCAATTAACAATCTGAAAGGCATCTTCAGTAGCAAAACACATTACAGTATTATGAAATATAATGTTTGCACAATACCAGACTTTTTTCCTTGCCAAATTTCTGTAAAAAAAATGAAATTTTGAAATTTAGCTGGTTGGATGGAAAGGTTATAGATGGAATGATTGAAGAATGATGTACATGAATCATTTTTTGCTTTCATCTCATTCATTTATAGTACATGGTCATTGTCAATAATGTTTTCTAAGATTGCATACGATAACAATGGTATTCTTTTGCAGGATGATCGCTTTGCAATTTTGCAAGCACTCAGTCGCAAACTTGTTCTGTCAGATAACACTGACCTTGGAGAAATTGCCAATGAAACAGAAGGGTTCACTGGTGCTGACCTGCAGGCTGTGTTGTATACCGCTCTGCTTAAAGCTGTGGAGGAAACTGTTACACCATCTAGTGAGTGATATTGCTTGGCAAAGAACTTTTTCTCCAGCAGTGTGAAACTTAAAGGAAATAATTTTTTATTATTGCTGCTGTAATCATTATTCTCTTTTGCAGATGCTGATAACAAAGATATAAAACTGCAACCTCTTGCTAGAGACTTGAGCGATGTAAGTAGTTTCCATTTACAGTTTACATCATTTCATGTTATTGCCATGATAAGGGCTGTCATTAATTTATATACCTCACCAAATATTATTATTCTCATGGCAGTGGATATTGAGATTATAGTCCTGTGGGATGTGATACATGTAGTCTAGTAGACAGGTATATTTATCCTCTTTCAGGGCCACATTTTCCCACTGAACTGTTCAGATTCCTGTACCAACCACTCCCGTCCCTATATTACATACCGTTTTTTCACACTTGGTTCACTTCTACCCTGAAGATGGAGGCAGCATGGTCTGCTGATATATTGTTACTTATCTACCAGACTGATATCCTAGAAGAATGTATCTCATTAGGATGAACAAACCAGGGATGATGAGGCAGACGAGGTAAATAGCATATATGGGAGAGGTGAGAAATGCATAAAAAGTTTTGATTTGGAAACCGGAATTTAAGAGACTGTTCAAAGAGCAAGGCATAAATTGAAGATAATATTGTGGCATGTCTGTTGAAAGCCAGAATTGTGAAGCCAGCAGAGACAGCCATCGCTGGAGAACTACTCTGCAGACATGCCTGTTGCTAGGCAATGGCTCAGTAGCCATCATGCGATCACCGCAACAAACACATGTAACAATAAAGTAACTGTTGTAAGCGATGTTTTCTAGGTGGCTATATAACAAGGTTGGTGTCTCCACCTTATCGTGATGAAGATGTTTGAGTATGCCAAGGACCGTGAGAGCTATACCAGCCGTAGCATAGCTACTGGCAGGGCCTCCCTTGCTGAACAGGTCAAAGGGTAGGCATCAGATGAAGAGAGACACCAAAAACTGATGCCGGAAGCAGCGTCATCAGCAGCGACTTAAAGCACAGAGCAAATGATGCTCGAGATGGTTCAAGTTCATATAGCAACAGGCGTGACCAGAGTGATATGAATGACTGTTGTACTGCGATGTGGAAAGCAAATAGAAAAACTACCACATTATCACTTTTCCTGGATAGTCTCTTTCCAAAAACAGAGATACCATGTATACGAGACCAATTGGATTGGTCATATCTTACGCAGTAACTGCCTCCTAAAAGAAGTTACTGAATGAAAGATAGAGGCGTGGATAGAGAGACCAGAAGATGAGGAAGAAGACGTAAGAAGATGCTGGATGACCTTGGGGACAGAAGAGGATATTCTTTAGATTGTATTAAGTGGAGGAACTGTTTTGGAAGAGACTGTGGACCTGTCGTCTGACAGATTACTGATGAATGAATGAATAACAAGGACCAGCGGCCGTTACAGGAGAGCCCTGAGACCGCACTTACAAGAGTAGGAGGTTGGTGTGAGATGGCCACCAGCTTACGAGGACATGAGCCCAGTAACAGAGGAATATCCACTGCTGGAAGACGTTTCTAAGCAGAGCAGCAAAGACTAATACTGAGAACACTACTCTTGTAAAGAGTAGTCATGAGTTATGTCTAAAAGTGTCCAATAAATCTGATTACCTATGCAAACTCCTTCTTTAGTCACACTCAGTCACTTGGCAGCTGGTGTCAGAAGTGGAATACTTGATTTAGAAAGGAGTGGATTGAGTGAATAATTCAGCTGAAGACATTGGATCATTATATTGCCATAATATGGAGATGGAATGTGGGCTGGCTGAAGTACGAACCAACCACGCTATGCTACCAGTTAGCAGCTTCTCCCTGCTTCTGCCTACTCTTTACTTTGAGATGGTCGCTACTTTCATCCTAAGTTCAGTTGTCATGTTCATAATGCTCCTCAGATGGACTAGGGTGTCCAAAAGTTAAGCCTTCGGCAAGAAAAGGCAGAATCTCAAAATGACAAGTATTTAATAACAGTAAAACATGATTCATGATACACAGCTCAGAACAATAAGAAAATAATAGTGACTGACCATTTCTTCAGTAATAGAATAGAATAGAATATATGAGGGTTAGGCCTTCTCGGCCCTTGCACCGCAACCTTAGGTCGATTGTGCTTCCCATTTTTTAATTATTCCCTCAGCAACCCCACGCTTTGGATGAAGCGCAGGATTTTGGACGTGGGGACGTCAAAATAGTCACTTGGTTCCATAAAGTACTGACCCAAGTGACGTAATCGTAAATAAGCTAATGCCTCACATTCACACAGGACGTGTGTGGCTGTTTCATTTTCTATCTGACACCTCTCACAGGTGGGTTTCTTCAGTAATACTCTCTATGCACTGCAACAGCTGCAAAACCAAACTTCGACCACCTTGGTCTGTCCAGACAGAAAACCAAGTAACGTGAAGAATCACTTGGAGCAGTCTGCTTTCTCCCAGACACAAACTCACAAAAGCACATTTAACATTCGAGACAACCCAGATCACAATGTTACCCATTTATGTGCTCCTAACAGTAACCCAAACAAATAATAATTTAATACCAAACAGAAAATCTCGTTGCAGCATCCCCAATGAAAAGCTTACATTATCGTTGCAATAAATAGGCCCCTTGCCATCAACGGCCAGAGGGAGAATTGAAACACATTTTGGAGAGGCAGATTGAAATGGATTTTGCAACCCACTTCGCTGACCTATCCCCACGTGTACTGAAGAAGGTCTTCCTTTCCGGACATGGAAGGAAGCGGAAATCATGTGGTAGAAAGGGATGGACCAACAGTGAANGGGGGGGGGGGGGGGGTGAAGGAGAGGAGGGTACTGGGCTGGACAGCTGGAAGCGACTCCTGCATCATCTGAGTAGAACAATTGCTCAGATGGATTCTGATTCCCCAAATGGAAGAAGAAACCACTGGCGGCTTGCATGTCAGTGCCATAGGAGTACCAGGCACTCCAGGATATTCTCTCCATGTAAACAGAAAGAGTGGTGACCCTGATAGGCTACGCAGAACAAGCAGCCTTGAGAAGAGAGCAATGTGACATGTCTGCTGAAAGCCAGAATTATGAAACCAGCAGAGACAGAGACAGCCGTTGCTAGGGAACGGCTCTGCAGACACACCCATTCCTAGGCAGTGGCTTAGTAGTCGTCATGTGATTGCTGCAACAGGCACACATGCAACAATATAATAACTTGGAAGCAGGTTATCTGTTTGGTCCATGCCAAGGCTATGTATATCAAAGACCAGCTGCTATTATGAGAGAGTCCTGAGGCGGCAGTTAGAAGAGTAGGAGGTTGGTGTGAGATGGCCACCAGCTTGCAAGGATGTGAGCCTGGACGCAGAGGAACGTCCACTGTTGGAAGATGTCAACAAGCAGAGCAATGAAGACTGACTGAGAACTAGTCACGAGTTGTGTGTAAAAGAGTTCAATAAATACGATCACCAATCCAAACCACATCTACAGTCACAGTCAGTCATGTGACACTATTAAGATTGATCTTAAACAAGTAGAATCTGAATGAACTTATCTGGCTTGAGTTCAGGTTCATTGGCAGGTTTGTGTGATGAATCTTTTGATTCCATAATAGGCAAGGAAGTTCTTGAATACTAGCAGGTGAGTGACTGTTAGATTCGTAAGTAAACTCTGCTCCTACAAAAACGATCATGTCATTTCAGGGTTCCAATGCATTGGAAAAATAGATAATAATTTCTCTGCAGTTTTGTTCTGAGGTTGTCATCTTTACAGTGCAATGATGCTTTCAGTTACTAATGTTATATAGTTTTGGATGGTAGGATTAGTGACTTATGAACTGGAAGCAATGTGGAAGTAACGTAGTGTCATGACATTTGCAGAACCATAAAAACTAGCGGCATGATTGTTCGTTGGACCGAAATTGACACTGGGACATTCCAAATAGAAAGCAAGAGTTCCATCCACTCAGCTATCTTATTCAGGTCCATTTTAATTATTCAAGTTAAAGAATGCTAGGTGTGATAATCTAATAAGACCAAACCATGGAGATGATGAGATTCGACTTTTTCACAGTGGTGAACATTAAGAATACACTCTGCTGGGTTGTGACAACATAAATTCTTTAAGATACCAAACAACATGCTGTCATGTCCCAGTAGACTATACATTTTCATGTTCACCACCATGAGAACATCAGAGCTCATGAAACATAGGTTATTATGTCAGTGCACAATTTATGTTGGCTGGAACTATTAAAATAGAATTTGGCAATGGATGAAAATAAATGTTGGATTAAAATTTATACATATTTGTCTATCAAACTGCATGTAACGTCCCAAATAACCTCTTCTTTTTGTATTACAACATGTATGAATGAGGTGTTATCCTCCAAAATATTTAAGTAGGGTCATTATGATGATGTGGGGCATGTGGTAGTGTAGTTGGTTGAACCACTATGCTACAAGCTTGAAAGTCGTGGGTTCAATTCCTGATGAGGTTGTAGTATCTTTCAGTTGACGTGATCCTTCCAGCCGCACTATGGCCCTGGGTCGACTCAGCCTCTAACAGAAATTAGTACCAGAAATCTTCCTTGGGGTAAAGGGTGGCCAGCACATAAGGCTGAGAACCTTACCTCAACCTTACCACCATCTGTGAGCCGACTGTCTAGAAAATGTGGGAGCCTCGACGTTTCACAACCCTATGGGCCTCCATGGCCTGTTACAGGGATAGCTTTATCATTATGATGATGTATATTTCTGTTTGAATTTTCCGTCTTTTTAACAAAGAATGTCATTCTTAAACAATCAGTGCACCATGGTCTCAAAAAGCTGCAGATGATTCAGGCGAATAACATCATCTTGTCTTAATGGTGTTTCCCATGCCCTGATGCAAGAGAGTGCAGGTTATGGGGAGATCAAGGAAATTAAAATGTGTATTCTACCAGTTAATGTGAAAACTGATTTTAATGAACATTTTACGCTTTAACTAGTTTGGAGGATGTTTTCATTGCAAATGTAGCAGCACTGGTCTCTGAATAACAGAAAAGAGTAGTTTCTTGCTTCTGGAGCCTCTTGTTTACCTTGCAGCTTGATGATTGGTGGATAATTGTATTTTCATGTTTGCAATGGAAAATGGGAAAAAATAAGTTTAGTACATTTGCT